GTTTATACCAAATGTGCACTTCCAATACAAGCTTGGGACACATTGCAACCCTGCAGAAAATTTGTATTTAAATCATTCAGTCTCCGATTCCACCCTAGACCCGAAGCATTATAATGCACCATTTACATAAGTATTTTCAAAGAACGAGACAAACCTTTAACTAGTAATTCCCTGTGCTGCTCCGCAAAGAAGTGTAACCCTGATTTATTCATACATAAAAGATCAGCAAACTGACCCAAGCTCTTTTGAAAACTGATGCATTTTATTTCAGTTTCACTCCATCACTGGCCTCGAAGGATCCAAACATGAGATTAATAAACTGTAAGTTTCTGTCACGATAGAGATATTTTCAGAATTCATAAAAGTGCCCGAAAACTTGTCAGAATTGCATTAGGCAGACCTTGGTTGCTTGTCTGAGATACTCATGGCTTCATGTCTCACGAGGGTGCTCTGCACAGTTTTGAAATAAAGTGGGGCACAGCCTCCTGGCCCAACGGCCTACGTTTTCCATGTTAAACCAGGCAGTTTTGGGGGCAGAAGAGGGTGGGGGTGCACAGCTGCTGCCAGAGCTGCTCGGGAGCGCTCAGACGTTGCAAAGTTGGCACCGAGCCCTTACTATTTAGCTGCTGACGGGAATGTGAAGCTGGTAGCGCTGAGGTAAGCACCGGCTTTCCCCAAAACCAGACCCTGAAGCTGTAGTTTGGGAGGTTCATCCCACCCTTATCCAGCCCGCACTGAGGCAAAGATAGACCTGGATTCCGATGGAGTCTTGGAAGATCGCAGGTGAAGGATTTCAGGGTCAAACTCCACGCTAGGCTAGACAGAGGCACTGCTTGGGACTACCTACATCACATAAGGCGGCTGTGTTTCGCTAGTGGTCAAATAACAAGATGACTTTGCTGACCAGACATCGTCCTTTCAGAAGTGCAGTCTTCAGCTGTGGCTTTTGCCCAAAGTAAAGCTGAGCCCCCAAGAGGAAGCATATTTCAAAACACAGTCAGTACTACAAAGTCATGCAGTCATCATCTGGTTTAGGATTTTACACAAATTACAGACAACTTAGGAAGTTTTTGGCATGTGCAAAATTTAAAATCCGTGTACCACTTTCCAAAAAAAGAGGCGAAACGAAGTGTCCAGCTACACTTCGACGTAAGTCCGTCAGAGCCCCGGCTGCACCCTGCAGTCTTTTTCATTTCAGAGGAGTTTTTCAGTGTTAGAAGTCTCTCCTTGAATCCATTTTTCATTTTGTTAAAGGAAACTTAGATACAAACATCTGGATATTTTCAAGTATAGTTTTGTGTTTTCTCTCTGTTTCTACTGAAGTCTCCAAAACCTTATAGCCATGATTCAATGGCCTGTGTTGTGTGTAAGGAAGAAAATAAAGAAAAAGACGATAAAAGAAAGCAGAAATTTACAAGCCCACTTAAGCAGAGAGGTACTTAAAACTGGCTGGTACTTGGTTTTATGCTTTTATTATCACTGTAATTTTAGTGGTGTTACTTTATGATACCCATTTAGGGCCAATATCTCATTGTTCTAAGCGTTGTTCTAATTTATACTGATGGCATTGGTTTCAGAAAGTACACATCTTTTTCCTGAGCACCTCTGCAGCTGAAATAGAATGTAACTTGCCTTTTCTTATAATCCAGAATTGAGAGAGTTTACTGGAGAGAGAGCTTTATCTTCTGCAACTCACCCAGGCAAAGCTTGCTCTGAAACAAGCGTAACTGTGGATGCAGTTCCAGATCCACGTGAGGTTTCTACACAAGGATGCTGTGGATTTTAGTCTTGATTCTGCAACTCTTACTTATCTCTGCAGCCCACAGAAGCTCCCCTGCAGCCAGCACTTGGGCTGGCTTCAGAAGATCCCTGTGGGCTTTGCACACCCTCCTTCGCTTTGGGGATTTGTATTTTTTTTTATGCTGCAGTGAATTGCGATACAGTGCAATTTCCCATTCTTTCACAGTGACTTGTGGGAAAATTTTATCCGTCCTTTCCCAACATATGTCAGAGGCAGAGGTAAGTCATTAAGGGACTAGCAGAACTCGACTGGCGCTAGCCCCTGCCTGCTCTTCAGAGCAGACAGATTAGCTGCTGACATTTGTGGCAGACGAGCCGCACCAGCAGGAGTTTATAATATAAACCCTATAACTAACTGGCAACTTGCTCCATCACTTTCAAAGGTTTAGCTGCTGCTGCTGCTGTTGTTATTATTGGGGTTTTCCTAGGAAAAAGGAACAAGAAGAGTGTGAGTCAAGTGGCTGCAGCATTACAAAACATCTCTGTTTTTCTGAAAATGTCACACTGATGACATCCTGTAATCTCAGTGATGCAAACCTTTCCCTCATTAGGAAAGAACATTAGCAAACAGCCTAACTAGGCGGTCAGAAATGCCCTTTATAACATAAAAATCAATGAAACAGTACTGAAAGCATGTGCAGATGTTTCCAGGTGGGTAACATACGCTGAAAACACCCAGGAAACTTAGTTGTCTCACCTGTGAAAAGACATTTATTTTTGCTAAGGTGCATTGTGGATCCGAGTAAATACACTAAGGCCTATGAAATTGCCAGATACAATCTACCCCTCTGACAAAAATAATCTGTGACTGAAGCCACCTGGGTTTCCAAATGCACAAGTTTGTTTGCAGGGAGGTTGTCACTATAGCTCATTTTCCATATTTCTACTGTGAAGAGAGAAGCATGTGGCTGAAGAAGATGACCAAGGCAAAGATACTAACCTGGCTTCCCAGGCAGGTGAAAGGGGCCCCGCTGGGAACGCTTCAGAGGGAGCATGATCGCAGCGCTGGTGGGGATGGACCGAGGTAACTGCCCTTCCATGACAGTCCAATTCTTCAGCATCCAAAATATCTCGTTCCTCTTGCTCTACAATTTTTTTTTTTTTAAATTAAAATAGTGAAATGCATGCCAAGGTGCCTTTGTATCACTCTAAAGTCTTAATTAAAATGTAATGTGGCACGAAGTCACGTTTCCTGAACTTTACTTTGCCTTAGAAATTATTAATTGGGTACACACCAGTGGGTGGCTATCTTGCTCTCAAGGGACAGTGACAAGTTGTTAGCTGAATGTGTGTCAAAAACAGTTGATGGGAATATGAGTGGGAAATGCTACAACCTGTACAGAAAGACTGGAAGGGAGAAGAGGAAAGGATATAGTCTTGTATATTAGAGAGAGAAGATAAAAATGCAGCAAAGATACAAAACAAAACCAAGTCCTTTCCTCTTTTCCCTTCCAGTCTTTCTATCTAGGCTTATGTTTTTAGTAAGGGTGAGTGAGTCAGGCTAAGTCTACAGAATGGGGCAAAATAGCCAAAAACAACAGGGCAGGATAAACTGAGAGAACATATTTGCAGCCCATGGGGTATTGGAAAGACTGAGTGGCAAACTCGAGAAGGAAATGGGGAAGAAACAGCAAGGAGGGTAACACATCCTTTATGCAGAAATCAATGACAGATGAAAATACCGTTAAAAAGCATGACTGCCTACTATTGGCTAAAGCTAAAGAAAAGCTGAGGCTGGACAATAGTAACAGCCTTAGGACCTGAGTCTATGCTCACCAAAACACAGACAGTCTTTGCCCGTGCTGCCCCAATGGCTGATTATGGGTTTTCCTGTTGCCGGACCAGACAAAGCCACGGCACCTCTGAGCACATAGGAGATGCCTGGGTAGCCTCGGTTTCAGGACTTTCATAATTGAAAGTGTCTGTATCAATTAGACACTAATACATGGAACTGTCATTTCTTGACAGGAAAATCTTAAAAGCATTCACAAGTCTCACCTCTAAGACTTCTATCTGGTGAGCATTATCATGTATGGCTATGACAACATATTAAAGAATATCTCCTAGAAATATTTAGTCAGTCAGCAGTTTCATAACTCAGAGCTCCTCTTTATCCTCTTATAGCTGCAATGTTGTAACTTTGCTTTGCGTTTCCCCCGCCACTGTTTTCTGAAGTGCATAAACGTACATTGCCAATACTAAGCAACCAGTTAGATTTTCAGTTAACTAAATCATTCAAGTGTTTTAAATCTGTTAACACGGTGGTCATTAAATGAATCACTGACCTATTTCTGAGCTACTCAAGCTAAGAAACTATAACTGATGCCCTATAAAGCATCAGTGTGTTACGACAAAAATTATTAGCTGCAGAAGGAGAGCAACACTTGGTCACTTTAGCAGCTCCCACCAATCTAAACAGAATGATTCACCATTTCCAGCTTTAACTAATTCACCAGAAATCACATTTTGACACAGACTAATGTCTAGGGGGAGTACCACGAAGCTGCTCAAGACCTTCTGTCCCCCGTCATCTACAGCCATCGTCACAGTGGCAGCTGAGTGCTTTCCAGCTACACCACCTGCTCCTAACAAAAAATGATGTGGTTTTCTGCTTTTTCCTCTTCCCTGGCTCACACCAGCCCAAAAATACTCAGTTACAGGCTGCCAAGTGAACCAGCCACTTCTCTCATTTGCTGGAGACAGACCCACCTGGGGTTGCCTTTTGGGTTCATACATGCACAGTGTCCCACTGTGCTGGGGCAAGAATTACAGCTTGAAAACCAAGGCGGGGGGGAGGCACTATTGAAATCTGCTTGCTCACCCGCCCTGAAAAGCAACCTAAAACCTTCCTGCTAACACGCATAAATGATCTTTTGTGTCAGATTTGTATTTGTGTGATGTTCATCCCATGACGCTGCACGTAGTTGAAGACAGATGGTAGTGAAGTCGGGAGTCAAAAAAGCAGAGGAGAGGAGGAGCGTGCTCACCTACAGCATAAAGGTGCTTCAGCCGAGTTAGTGCTTGAAGAGCAACTTCTTTTTTTTTTTTTTCTTCTTCTTCTTCTTCTTCTTTCTTTTGCAATCATTGCTCGCTTGACAGGCCCAGACGGAATTACATCACTTCCTAAAACCCATCAAAGAGAGTCCATCTCCTGAAGAAATGCGGCTCAGATGCACCCCAGCAGGAAACAGGAAATGTAAATGTTTGGGTGAAGCAGGGAGCCAGCCGAAGCGCCCCTCGGGTGGGAGCGCCGCCAAGGTAACATGCGAAAGCAAAACCTCATCGCGCTGCTTTCTGCCCTGTCGCTGGCCGGAGGATCTGCCAGCGAAGGTGAGTAAGAGAGCGCCTTTCGCCTTCCGAGGTGGGACCGCGTTTCGCGCCTGCAGCGATGGGACCGAGTCGGAGGGCAACACCCTCCAAACTGAGCGCTAGGAGAAGATCTGTGGGGACTTGCTCTCTGCTCCTTTTAGCTGTGTTTACCCTCTCTGTTTTCAGCTGCCTCACTTTTTCAGAGCTTTGACTTTTTTTCCTTAGACCTAACCTCAAAGGGCAGCAACCAAATCCTACAATTCCTACATTTCCTAAATTGCAGGTGCGTAGGGAGCCGGAGTTTCCGTGCTGGCCCGCCAGCAATTTTGGTTCTAATTTTAATTATTTGTTGTACTTTTTTAACCACACACCCATACTATCAGTATTTAATAGTAGTTAAGTAGTTAATAGTAGTTAAAGTTAAAGACAGAGCACCGCTTCCATTCAAAAGCCGACTGCCGATTTCCGTAGTTCCAGTGCACTGAAACCGGTTTAACAAAAGAACAGCCGGTTCCGGAGACAAATATTTTGAATTCTCGGCTGCAGAACAAAGTGGTCGGCACTGTGGATTTAGGTCGTGACCTTCTTCCCTGAAGGGAAGAACTGTGAGTGGAAACGCCGCTTGTGACAAAAAGCTGAAGCGTTGGGGTGTCGTTGCAGAGGCTCTCACCCGTTCGCAGGGGGTAGTTTGTTCCATTGGCATTTTGGCAGCCAGCAGCTGTGCAAGACAGGCAGCTCTTTTAGTAAAACCTTGCCAGGTGGTGCTTATATGCCTTTCAGTGTCAAACAGATCACTACCAAAGTGCCTCAGCATGGACAAGAAGTGTTTGCTGCCTCTGTGCTGCTGTAGCGAGTGGGAGCTCTCCAGAAAGTAGGGAGAGAGGATGGTCACTCAGCTATCACTGGACTTCCTCTATTAAGGTTTTAAAATGCATTGGTGAAATAGGTGGTTTGCTACAGGTATTTTTTCCCTGAAAACCAGTACTATAAGCAGGGTGTAAAGCCGGGCTGCTGGCTCCCGGTGTGCTGCCGAGCTGCTCGCGGTTAGGAGTCTTGCTTAGCTGTAAGAGTGAGCTAAGCGAGGTGTAACATGGTTTGGTCTTGTCTGCATTACTACAGCCCTGCTGCATTACAGACACATTAGAAAAATATGCTGCAAGCATTGAACGTAGCTCAGAATCAAAGAGGTCAGAGGAAAAAATCCTGCCATGAACAGAGCAAAATGGGGGTCCCAGGGAGGTGGAGGGGCAGGACGCAAGCAACGCAGAGGGATCAGGCACCAGCTTCCTTAGCTCACTTGCAGTGTACTGATCGCTAGGATTTCATCACCATCTCTGCAGGGCGGAGGGACGCCTTAGTCCCCAACGCCCCACAGCCCACGGCTGGGTCCCCCCCCGCCCTTCTTTGTGATGGGCATTAAAGGCTGCACGTCAGGCACATACCAAGTGCCCCAATCCGCTCCCCGCTGCCTTTAGAGGCTTCCTACTGGTAGGTCCACTTTGAAATTTTGGTTGATTTTGGAACGTTTCCTCCATGGGTGTGAGTCAGTCCTGCCAGCGCTCTCCCTGGCGGCTGTCAGCCCTGGCTCTCCTGAGCCAGCCCCCCACTGCTGGGGAAGGGGAGGAGAGCACCCACCCGGAGAAGACAGGCACCCTTGCTCCCCACACAAAGGTGGTTTTTGTTTGTGGAACCAGCCCCAAAATGTACCCAGGGCTTACTCTGCCTGCAAGGGTGGGAGAAGGGAAGTTGTGAACTTGGGCCTTGGGGTTGAAATTGAACTGCTGGGGGAAGAGTTTATGTAGGGGCTTATATAGCCCCCACAGGCACTGGTGGGTCGGGAGCCCCTCTGCTGAGGGCAGCCTGCCAGGAGGGATCCTTTGCTCTCACCCCTGCTTGCTCACAGGTCGACAGGCCAGGACCTTTAAAGGAGTTTTTTTTCCTTTTTCCTCCAGTGCCAGACACAGTCCTCACCTTTAAAGTGGTCTGCTTGAGAAGGGGGCCAGAAGCTCTTGGAGATCTCTCCCAGGTCTCACCTCTACTGTCTAGAAACCATTTACAAAATAGGTGACACAAGTATGATTAAATCTTGCAGCATAGACAGATCGAAGCCTTTGTAAGTCCTCTTCCCATACCTTGCTGGAGCCTTGTAAAACCCTAGCCTTGCCATTTGGATTATGATTAACAGGAGGTTTTCTCCCAGCTACGCTACAGTTACTCTAAGCCAGTAGCTCTAAGAGCGTGCCTGAAGCCTCAGCTCTGGGTGCTGGCCCTCTCCCGGCTCCACACTGAGGGGATATTGGGGTTTGCACCGGTCCCCTTCCCCTTGCCCATCCCCTTGCTTTACACAGGCAGAAAGCCCCGCTGGTGACCTGCTGAGGGCCAGCAGTGGCCCTCCCTGCTCTGGTGATGGTGGTCGCTGCTCAGCCTCGCAGCAGCCCGAAAGACCTACCTAGGTGTGTGCTGTCCCTAAGAACGAGTATTAAGGCCCTTACTATAGTTTACAGGAAAAGGCTCTGGCCCTGCGGGCATTTCCCAGGGCACGCCATCTCCATCCATGCTCAGTGAAACATGCAGGAAATTGCGGCATAAGTGGTCTGACGCAGGGAGCGAGAAAATGCATGAGGGAGAGGAGCAGTAAAGCGTGTAAGGACGTTAAGTGGAAGAGCTGGGAGGGTTGGAGGTAGTGCTTTATTTTGTCTGCATCTCTGCACTATTGTTTTGAGCTGTCATTTAAAGAAATGTTGCTATCAAAGATCCAGATATTCAGCAGCTTGCGCCGCCGTGAGCACAGGCAGCAGCTCTCTCTTTGGCAGAGAAGTGCCCTTAAAGGTAAAGTTCCCCACAAAGCCAAGGTCTCTAAGGCAGTGATATTTTTGACCTGTTCCCCCTAGAGTAATGAACTCAGGAATGGGTTTGAACCCATCAGTCGCCTGTTGTAGTTTTCCAGCAAAGCAATAATAAAAGAAACGAGGATTTACCACACCCTCTTTTTCCAAAGTGCAGCTCCCTGAAAAGCAGATGAATAACCCTGGCTACTGAACACATCAATTCCTTGTACATATTTACTCCTATTCATCCCTTTTATCCACACACACAAACTTCCACAGTGTTATATTCAAGTGCTTCAGGGGCATTTCAGAAAATCTCTCCTTTATATCAGCAAGATTGTATACTAAATTTCAGTCAGTGACCCCAGTCTATTTTCCCTCAAGAGATTCTATGACAGCTGGAGAGCCTCTGGAGCTTCTGAATCTTTAATTTCAGGGTCCTCCTGAGAGCAAGGAGCACCGAGAAATTCGCATCGCAGTGAGGTCGCACGGGTATCACTGATGCAGAGCTGGAAGGCCACAAGATTAAGTAGATGCAACTGAATGCATAAATTGGTCTGGCAAACCTTTAGAACTGAGGGTGAAAAACGAGACTACAGGTTCACAGTTTGACTCTAAGACGCGTGACTGAATTTGCAACACCAGCAGTTAACACAGCACTTCAGCTGGATGGAAGTATAGTGAGGAGAATGCAGTTTCCATCATCTAGAAATGAACTTAAACAGTTGTTTCCTCTTTCAGGTTATACCTAGATAACACTTTCTAAGCACCCCATTTTAATAGGATCTTGTCTACAGATTAGCCAACCTGAAATGTTTGTGCTTCCTCATCAGAAGAGCGTATGCACCCGACAGCTAGCCTGCAGGCTTTTAAGGATTCCTCTTCTAGCCAGACTGACAGGCGGGACCTGCCACAACAGGCAGCTGGGCAAGCCCCGGCCATGGCAAGGAACGGCCCTTCTTACAGCAACGTGAAATGCAGGGAGAGGAACAGAACAGGCATGAGTCAAGCAATAGGAGAGAGGATCATACGGACCACGTGGAGTTGTATGGCTATACCACCAGAAGGAATGTGTGTGTGGAGCAGAGTGATGCAGGATACGGTAACTTTGCTGCAGCATACACAGCTTTATAGCCTTTGCTTGTTTCATCACCCTGTCACGAGCCTTCCTTTCACTGCATTTTTATAGCTTATAGGAAAGTTGGAGAAGCAAAAAATTTTCTTTCAAACTAATAAGGTTGACTATCCCATTGACTTAGCTCTTGCTTTTCCTCTGTCCCATCCCTTTTTCTTCTGTAAGTAGGTACTGTAGTGCAATTTGAAAAATTCCCTTCAGAGACCCCAGTCCTTGAGTCTGATGAGAAGGCAGCAGGGAGACTGATGATTTTACAGCAGAACCGAATGTGCTGACTGCTGGCTATTTTCCTTTGCCTCGCATCCAACTGAAATCAGAAACCTGTTTGCCCACTTACTTCATCAAGAAGCTCCCATCGCCACCTCTGAGTGCTCCAGTACAAACCTCAGAGGAAGAAATGCTGCAACGACAGAAATGTTGCTTGTTTGTTTGTTTGAGATGCAGTTGTTTGGACTCCAGTCTGTAAAGCTGCTCGGTATATCCAACTCCCTCTGTCTCCCTTGAAAGGCAGGCTTGGGAGCACCTCCAAAACTCACGCAAAGTCCATCAGTAATCCAAGCATATTTTTTAAGCAGAAAATATTGAATAATACCTTATACCGTGGTATCTGCATACAGGGACATAGCTTTTTTGTCATTCATAAGAACAGTAATGGAACCTTTTTTGAGCCGCTGCTAGTGCTGGCTTAGGCATTTTGGTCCCCTGAGGACTAGATCCTCTAATGCCTCTGTGGTAGGAATCTGATGACTTCTTAGCTTCCAGTTCCAGCTGTGCCCAGCTCCCTGTCAGGGTGGGATGCAGCTGTGTGCCAGCCCCTCTCCCTTCTGCTCTTGGAAAGCATGGAAGTGGCAATATGGGCTGGGCTGAAGCTGTGGCATGCTCCCATCCACTTCCCTTGGCATGGGGAGGAGTCGCCAGCACTCATACCCCAGGCAGCCCACACAAAGCTGAAGCCGATGCGGTTGTTGTGTGAGTGCCTGCTCCTCGGCCGAGATGTGCAGGGGGCCGAGTACGGATGTCATACCATAGGTGACAGCGTGAGGCTGAGCTCAGTAAGAGAAAGGGCATGGGCTTTGCAAAGTCAAGGAAACATCTACTTGGTCAGATGTGACTTGCTCCTCGTTCCACTACTGGCCTTGGTTTTCCATCCTGAATGTGTGTTACGTTACGTTATGTTACATTAAGTTATGTTACGTTACGGTCCCTTTTGGAGGGAGCTAGTAGATCTCTGCAAGGTGAAACCCAAGCACAGCTGACAAGACAGTTCATGGTATGAATGACCACTGCAAATCCGTCTCCCTCCAGGCATGGAGAAAATGACTGAATAGCATCTCACAAAATCTCTGAATTTCAGACGCTCTCCTGCCCTGCTCCAAACCTTGCAACGTCCAGCTTTCATTCACCCTACAAAACAGCCACTGAGCCCAGCTGCAACACAGCCCACTTGCTATTTTGAGCACTTAAACTGAAACGCTATGAAAAACAACGACTACCTTGGGGCCAGCCACGTGGGTCTCATGTGGCCCAGGCAGCTGGCTGCGGCGAGCGCTGCGCCTGCACCGGGAGGCCAGACTCCGTCCCTCCCAGCTGGGCTGGAAGTACAAATCCTTCCTTGGTGCAAGCCACCAGGCCCACCCAGGGGCAGGCTGTGATTTTCCTACCACGTAAAAATGTGATGTGCGGGTGGCCCAAGAGCGAGAGCCGCCCCTGTGTGACAGGTGGGGCATCCCTCGCGTCCGAGCTCTGGTCCTCGGAGGTGACGGGCTGAAGAGCTGGAGGGAGATGTGTCGAGGCAGCAGGTGAAACACAGGAAATAAGAGCAATATCCTTGCAAGCACATTGAGCAATTGGCTGCCCTTCTGCTGAAAGACATATTTAATTCACTCGGAGAAAAGATCTCTGTAAGAGGAGATGGTGTGCACAGAAGAGATGCTGTTTTGTCCCTGGAATTATGCAAAGTGAACAAAAATACGTGGCAGCAAGGTCGCTCCCTGTGATTTGCCATTTTCTTTGCCTAGAGACTAGAAAAGGTAATTCTATTTCACACAGAGCCTGATGATTTGAAATCTGCTTCATAGCTCAAAACCAGGCAAATAAAAAGTACCAGAGACACTGGAAGAGTCTCTCATGGAAATCAAGCGCAGCATACGCTGCAGCTGAAAGTTTAGCGCTGCAGTTAATGAACTGTGACTGTTTGCTTTTGCTTTAAAGTCACACCATGCTTTAGACATTTGAAAAATCCATTTTATCTCTAAGAGTAAATGAAAAATAAGGTAGTTTCCCCACACCCTTTCCCATTTGTACTGTTTTAAGCAACGGGCTTGTCCTTGTCAATATATCAAATGCAGCAGATGATGGGTTTCAAGGGCGACGGCTAGAGGAGGAAAATGAAGCAAGGTCGTCGAAGCGGTTCGGTGAGGCTGCGGTGGTCCATTGGCTCTGCCAGCGGCACGGTCCATCACGCCATGGCCTGCGGTGCAGACATCTCTAGCGATACCTCGCTACTCTGTGCAACAGCAATCAAAATGGAGTGGCTGCAGGCACTGGGGACTATAAACTACCCAGGGAAAGAAGAGTAAAGTGGCCAAACTAGTAAGGGAGAGGAGCTCTCCCTCCCATCGTCTGTGACAGGATTAAGGACAGCCAGCAGATCATGGGAAGGGGTGGAGGAGCACGCATGTAAGGGGTCATTACCTTCAAGGGAGGCAGAGATCGTGTTTTGCTCTTGACTGAAATACTAAATACAGAAGAAAGTGACAGAGAGACTACTGCTATGAAGTGCTTTGCCACTGAATAGCGAACATTTTCATTCTCCTATTGTGGTGAAAGAGTCTGGTGACCTTTGCAATATTAAATACTATATTCAAGTATTAGGTATTATTTATTCAGTATTAACATTCTTTCCTAGTTTTTAGGAAAGGATGAAACAATCAGGTGCCTGAGTGATAAGCACAGCATAAAAATCTAGATAAATCACTGCTGTTACACTCAAATCATTTTATGTGTTTGAAATTGGGTTTCCTGCAATACAGACTCATGAGGTACTCATCTCCTCTTTGAGACAAATCTGACAGGAGAGGAGATGCTGCAGAGTGGATTAAGCAAGAGATAGCGCTCTAATCCCAGTTTTCCTCTCTCACTTGGCATGCCTGGGAAGGACAGCATCCCTGTCCTTCTGATTTCTCATTTGTAAAATGGAGATGATAACTGCTCATCTCTCAGGGCCATTATGAAGATTAATGTGTTTACAAAAGCATTTAAAATGCTAAGTACTTTTGGTTCCAGTCCTGTGAGATTTGAAATGCCAGCACTGAGGTGCTGAAAACCTTAAGCTCTTGCTAACTCTAGTGGAAACTATGGCTGCCCAGCACTTTACAAGAACAGAGAGAAGCATGTCATTGCAAAAGTCATGAAATCCCATCCTGCTTTATTGCATGAAATGAGCGCTGCACCATGTGGGCATTGTATCTGAAAGGGCAGGTAACACAAAAAATCATCATTTAATTTCATGCTAAGAAAATTATTGAAGGCTTTTCATTTGGAAATGTGTTGGTGTAATTTATCTGAGGACTGATTCCTGCACCTTTGGCTACAACAGGATTTTTAGCATCAGTATAGAGCACAGTATCAGCCCAGAATTTGCTGTACTTCTGTTAAGCTTTAAACTCTGTGACAATCAGCACAGATTCTTAATTAGTCTCAAAAAACCCCTTGTTTCACTATTACCAATATAGCAAATTTTAGCCACTTTTTTTACAAAATGCATGATAAATGAAACCAAAACCCAACTCAAGGTTCAAAACTCCCAGTTTTAGCATTTGTGAAGAATAACCAGCACTGACTCTTTACCATATGCTCCTTCAGCCAGCCCATAGGATCCGACAGAGGAGCAGTTAATCGCATCTGTATTCAGTAAAGTCCCTCTGTCACTACTACCTCTTGTAGTCCATGCAGAAGTGAAAGTCAGCAGCTTCTGCAGGCTTCAGACTTCCTTTCACCAGTTCTGTTTTCACAGTGAAACAAGTTTAACAAATTTGAGAAAGGCACAGAAACAGGGAGATGAGTGAGCCGGAGGAATTGGTGAACCAGGGATAAGGGTCTCCCTGAAGGGAGTACTAACTCCTTGGGTAAGGGGAGGGATGAAAGAGGTTGCAGCTGTACACGCCAAGGCTGAGGAGCAAAGCAGGATGGTGTGGTTTACTGAGAAGCACAGGAGACTTTTATGTGAGAGCGAGACCGGATGCTAACCTGCAGGAAAAACAGTCTGTTTGTGCAAGACAGCGTGCAGACAGACCACGCATGCTGACATGTCCCAGTAAAAGCCAGTTGAAGAACATGGTCAGGACTGGTAAGATTTTGTGATGAATTTGTGATCTAATTTTACATCTGATGCCCAAGACTTCAAATCTGTGTGCATGGGGCATCTGCTGATTTTTTTTTTAAGACGTCAAATGAAAAGTAAATATTAAAACTGTATGTTTTGACTCAGTGACAATACCAACAAAACCCATAAAATATTAAGTTGTCCTCATATATTTGGCAGGCTCTGAAAATGATGATTTGGGAGATGGATTGCCGACATTATCCACTGTTACAGTAACGCCTCCTCCTGCTACGCATCCTTTGACCTCGGATGACCACAACCCAATACATGTCACTGCAATCGCTACTGAAAGCAGCTTTGAAACAAGTACTCCAAGTACTGAACTGAATGCCATAAACAATCAGGACAGCCTAGAACCAGCAGAACAGTCTATCTTGATATACGTTGTCCCCGTCGTGCTGCTGGTCCTGCTGATTTTGCTGATCGTATTTTTTGTAATACATCATAAAAGGAAAAAGTCAAAGCAAGGTAAATTTGTCTTCTCGTGCATCAGAAGGATATTTTTAGGACGTGCTGTTAATATAACATTAACAAAATGTTATTTGCAGGCCTGGGGTGCCACATTTAGGATGTACTTCTCTGGTTGTAGTTGCACGTTTGACAGATAGGAAAGGGATCCACCCCCGGCCAGCGGTATCTGGGCACGCACCTCTCCGTGGGCGGGAGCTAGTTCTGCTTCTTGGCACCTTCTGCTCACGCTGCACACCCACGGGAGCCACAGCACCGAGCTCTGGCTCCTGGCAATGCCAGGAACAGCATACGGATGTAACCATGTGGCTGCAAACACTTATTCTGTCTTTATGCTCAATAACTTCATGCAAGGTGAATTTAATGCTTCTATTGCCTATACTGCCCAGAAGGTAAAGCTGCTCGGAGCGTCAATAAACTAAGAACAAGAAAAACCAATTTAAGGGATGCTTTTAAGGGATCCTGTAGGGTGGTGTCAGCTATGAAGATAGCACAGTAAATGAGCTAGGAATCCTGTGGTCAGACTGTCAGGGTGCTGCAACAGGGAGAACAGTGCTTCAGAAGGGTACCTTGATCTGTTAGCAAAGAAATCGGTAACTTGGAGTGTCAAGCTACAGAAAACAAACTGAGGTGTCATATTAAAACCACACAGTTGGTAAGTGAAGTCCTGAAATGGTCGTATCTGCACTCTACAGAACAAGAGTGCAGCTGTAAGCTCCTCAGCCTGCAGACAGTGACATACATCCAACACAGACTTTAAGTGCATTTTTCAGGGCATTTTTGTGCTGCACCTGCCTTATCACCAGGTCACCCTCATAGCAAACTCTGAATTGACAACCAGGCACCTAGTTGCCTGCCTATTTCTGGATGACCTGAAATGCAGGTACACTCTTCAGAGGGATGGGAAATGCGGTGCCTTGCAGGAGCACAATCCTGGGATCTCTTGCCCTGTGCCTATTGCTTGGAGTTGGGATTTTGGGCATCCTCAAGGCAGGGGCAGATGGCTCCATGGCCCTGGGGTGGCTCTGCAGTCAGGGAGTGTGCTGGAACAAGTGGGAGGTGTCAGCACCCCTTGGCAACAATGAATTAAAAATAAGCTGATTTAAGAAAGTAGACAATGTGAATCCTATATGTAGTTCTTCATTCTTTTTTGAGGGCTGAGGCTTTTCAGTCACTTGATTCCTGGAGGGGGAGTTATTTATCTGAATAATGGCTGTTACACTATTTTTTTCCCCATCTTTACTTTGTCTAGGGGTCATAAATAGCTTTGGATCCCTTTTGACATCTGGCTAGTTCAGCTTCATTTGCCTAACTGAGATTTAATCTGCCATGCAAGTCCACCCCCCCTCTTCATCTCTCCATGAGCGGTTCCCAGAGTCTCCAGGCAGAGCCAGATTGCCTGCGTGTAGTCTGCAGCAAAATGTCCCGATGCTTCCAGTAAACAATTTTTTTGCAGCAGTGGTTCCTTTTCAGGATACCGTTTCTCTCACAACATCTGTTTTGCTCAGGGAAGCGTACATCTACCACGTCCCTCCCACCGCGGCGCTAACAGTCGGTTTCCTCACATTACGGCTGAGCTAATAATGAGCATTTAGTGTGTTCAAGATTAAAAATAATGGATTCCTCTGAAAATTACAAACACGATGAGATGTTTTGTCTTTCATCTACATGTTAACTATTATGCCTTTTGAAAACACAGCCTGTTTTACATGACCCTATTCAAGGCTTGCTTGCAGTCTGGACCCTGTATATACAAAGAGCAGAACTATGAACACCAACTTTTTTCTTTTCCAGATGAGCTGGGAAGCGAAAATGTGAAAAGGTAAAGTTTATGAACATCACTCTCTTTTTTTTGATTCTTTTACTATAACAGGGTATTACAATTTTTGGCTACTTCACTGCCTGTTTTAATTTACCCATACACCAAACACTATTACCTTTTGCCATCAATTGCTCCAGTTAAATATCTCTAGAGGTGCCTAAAGTGTGACTTCAGCATCTAGCTGAAGGTGTAAGACTAGAGATAAAAGACAGGAGAGCAGGAGAACAGGAGTCACGGTGGCCGAGGCGAGCGCTGCCCCACAGGCACCCACCTCTCGCTGC